CCCCCGCCCCTGGGAGCCTCTCTGTGGCCATTGCTGAACTCCCCATCGCTGGTGAAGGGGGATGGAAACATGAGGCAGTGGCCGGGGGGGACAGGACTTGCTCAGCACAGCAGGAACAGCAATGTCAAAGCCAAGACCGGTGCTCGGGGGTGCCAGGGCTCAGGATGGAGGCGCTCGTGGCAGCACTGAGGGTGGATAACACAGAGGCATCTGGCTGTGCTGGCAGCAGCTCATCCCTGGCTTCCCTCTCTCGTGACAGCCATGCTCCTGTGTTGTCTCCCAGTAATCTCCAATTTCCACCAACATACAAGGCATAACAGGGATGTCATTAGAGCCAATTGTGCATGGTAGAAACCAGACCACTGCATTATTTATTGATTGCTGAACTGGTGTGACATCATTGGAGCTCACCTAACAGCAGAGAAGGTGGGCCTGTGCCTCCCTTCTCATCTCCTTTGCCCTCTCTCAGCCTCCCCCCTGCACCAGCTCTGGTTTTCATCACACTGTGCCAAAGCGGTGCAGCTCGCTGGCCTGGCAGAAAGCTAGCGTGGCAAACCCAGTGAACCTGTGCCACGCTGGCAGGTTGAATTGACCAGCTGAGCTCCTGGCATGGCGCGGAATGGGCCAGGGAATGTGGCACGAAGCTTTTCAAGATCACAGGCTTCAGGCTCGCTGAGCCGTAACACGCAGCCTCATCCAGCAGAGACGGTTTGATGCCCAGGTTCTGTTCGAGTGCTTGTTGACTTCAGGAGGCGTTCATGTGTTTGTCTTTGTTCATCTGGCCCTTACAGGATAAAGCATTTGTGAAGTTTGCTTAGGTTTTTAGTCTCACATTTCAGGCAATGAAGATGGAATAGCTGATTTAATTTCCTCGTTGCGGTGCCCTGGCTTACTGCCACGAAGCAGCACTGGAAACACTAATGGCAGTGTTGTTGTCTTCTAGGTTTTACAAAAACATGAGTCAGGCCCGCTAGATTTGAAGAGGCTGGGTTATGTCCTTTCAGATGGGCGCACTGTTTTACTTCCGTTACCCTTTTTGATCCTGTGTCTCTGTGGTTGACGTTCAGAGACTCAAGGAAGAGATCTCATGAGGTCATCCACCCATCTCCTTCCCTCCACCTGTGTCCAAGTTGTTCTCCACCAGCACACAGGTCAGACACGAGTTGTTTCTTGCTGCTTTAAAGAGTCAAAACCCATCATAGATGCTTCAAATTAACTGAGAGGGGGCTTGGTTCCTCTTTTTTGGCACTAGTTTTGCTTATGACTTAACAAGCTCAGCAGAGATCTGCCTCTGGTCTGCAAATCACTGTGCTACCAGCTGCACCGGTCCTGCTGGTGACATCCCACGTGTTCATTGCCATCACCATGGCTGTGACAAGCAGACGTGATTCTGCTTGTGCTGGTGATTGTCCTTGAAGGTTTGGCTGGCTCATTCATTGCTTTCCCTTTCCCTCTTTCCCCATTCCAGGCCTGCCCTACAGCTGTGGATGCACTGGGTGCTCAACCTCTGCACCGGGCAGCCGTCACGGCCCAGGATGAAGCCATCCAGTTCCTTGTCTCCGAGCTGGGTGTTGATGTCAACGAGAGAGTGACGACCCTCCAGCTCACAGCGCTACACTACGCGGCCAAGGTTTGTCCCTGCTCCGACTCTTCCTCTACAAAGTCACTGCCGGTTGGTGCGATACCGTCAGGCACCTGGAACCATCAGGTTTAGTTGCTCACCACTGATGGAGGATTTACATTCCTAGCTCATCCTCTGTCGCTGTCTATCTGCTCCTGAGCAGTCCCATTCCCTGTTTAATGGTTTTTAGACCCTCGTTAAGGGTGTCCAGCTATCTGCAGAGCGGTGCTGGGTATCTGAGTTGCTCTCTTCACCACACTCCTGCCCACGCCGCTGACTGTGCTGCGGTTTGGTAAACCCTCCTGCCTGGCGTGTGGCTGAGTGGGATCGCTCAGGAGCGGAGGCGAGTGGTGACAGGGCTCAGCTCCCTTGCCACACATCCAGTTGTCTGTGCTTTGGATAGGGTCGATCCACACCTCTGGTGAGCGTTCATCTTCCAGTTTGCTGTCTTCAGACCAAACTGCAGTACCTGAAGGGAATCTGACCTGCTAGCTGCTGGGAGCTGTTCATGAAACATGATGGTTCTTCACCAGCATCTTCCTGAGAAAGGAGAGATGGAAAGGGGGAGGGAGCTCCCGGGCGCTTATCTGTGTCCTTAGCACAGGAGCTGTTTTGAATTCCAGGCAGTGAGAGTCGTTTGAGCTTTTTCCTCCTCCCATCTCGTGCCTGCGTGGGAAGCGGGACATCAAGGGGTGCGGGTCCTACAACACTCCCTGGGAGTGCAGAGCATACCCCAAAAGCCTCACTGCTGACCAGGATCCCTCCTGGGACCCCGCTGCCTCCTTTCTGCGGTGTGCAGCCTGCTGGCAGCTGGCAGCAAGGGAAGGTCCCTGCTCAGATCCCTGCATGTTAAACCTCATGAGCTTTAACACGCAGCACTCAAGGCCTGGTCTAGACATGTAGTGGGAACGAAGCAGCATCCCAATGCCCCACTCCTACAAAAGCATCAATGACACATACTGGGAGTGCTGGCAACAACATTCTCCCCCAGCAGGACCCAGCCATGGCATTTGCTGGCTCCCACAAAGGAGGCCTTTCTCCCAGCTTCCCTTCCTCATGCTCTGAGAAACCATGTTGAAAGCCCTTTTGGTTGCCAAGGGTACGTTTAACAGCAAGGCTATTGGGGAATATAATGTGCCTTGGAGAAGATCCCAGCTCTGTCTTGGCGAGCGGCTGACTGGGGAGCGATTTGATGGGTTTCTCTTCCTTCCCGAGGCTCAGTGTCACTTTATATTTACAGCATCATTTGTTTGGCTGGTGGTGGGGTTTTTTTTTTTCCTTCTTTCCTTCTTTCTTTGCATTTATAAATACGTGAAAATCAAATTATGTTTTCAACTCAATTTGCTGCCAAGGCTGTGGCAGCTAAAGCCGTTCCTGGCTTGCTGTCTTTGCCACGGAGAGGGGGTGTGCGTGCAGCAGGGAAATGGGACCCTTGAGCAGGGGTGAAGATGCCACCAAGTCGTACGCTAATGGGGGAAAGAGAGGGATAAAAATAAGACCCTTCCATTCTCATGCCGCACGACAAAGCCTAATTCATTGCACTGAAGAAGCAATTACAAAATCAGGCGTGTTATTTAGGGAGAGAGGATTTATTTATGGAGGAGCTTGTGCAGAGAGGAGGGGTGTGGGGACTGTATTGCATTTTCCCTTGCAGAGTTTAAAATTGGCTACCGGCAGAGGAAAGACAGAGGACGCTGTGGGTCGTGGTGGTGTGTAAGCGTAGCATTCTGGGTCTTCTCCCAGGGCATTACAAATATTGGAGTAATCCTTTAGGAAATGCCAGTGCCTGAGGGTACCACAGGCACAACAGTCCACATCAGCAACAGGTTCTGCTCTCTGAGCTGAAATACACCCCAATAAGAACAACTCCAGATCCCCGTGGTACTTGAAGTGGGTTTACAGTGGAGGAAAACACATGGCTTTTTGCTGGCAGTTAACCCTTTTAACAGCCAGCTGCCAATTAGGAAAGGCAAGTCAGGCATCCTACGCCTCTGTGGCCAGTGGAAGGTAAAAGCAATTTAATTGAGTTACTTGATTGGAGGCGGTGACTGGAGAGGCAAAGATCAGTTGACAAATTAGTGCTAATTTGCTATTAAGAAACATCTTCAGGTCGTGTCTCCCAATTGTAAGTCAGAGGTCGTTTTGCATTAACTCCTCTGCATCCACTGGCGAAGGCAGAGCTACGCTGGGAGACAATCCTCTGAATTCCTCACACCTCCGGGTCCCGGCTGGGCAAGGTAGATCTGTACTGAATCTGTACTCTGCTCTGGTGAGACCCCACCTGGAGTGCTGCGTCCAGCTGTGGAGCCCGCAACATCAGAAGGATATTGACCACTTGGAGCGAGTCCAGAGGAGGCCACGAAGATGATCAGAGGGCTGGAGCCCCTCTCCTATGATGAAAGGCTGCAAGAATTGGGCTTGTTCAGCCTGGAGAAGAGGAGACTCTGAGGAGACCTCATTGCAGCTTTCCAGTATCTGAAGGGCCTACAAGGGTGCTGGGAGAGGACTTTTTACAAGAGCCTGTAGTGACAGGACAAGGGGTAAGGGTTTAAATTGAAAACAGGGAGGTTTAGATTAGATGTCAGGAAGAAATTCTTCACAGAGAGGGTGGTGAGGCACTGGGACAGGTTGCCCAGAGAAGCTGTGGATGCCCTATCTCTGGATGTCTTCAAGGCCAGGCTGGATGTGGCTTTGAGCAACCTGGTCTAGTGGAAGGTGTTCCTGCCCATGGCAGGGGGGTTGGAACTAGATGATCTTTAAGGTCCCTTCCAACCCAAACCATTCTATGATTCTATGTTGACCGTGGCTGGGAAGATCGTACGGCATCTACAGTTGTGTAAAAGCAGGTCCACCTGCCGGGATCCGGACTGGGTTGTGTCTGTCACACATGCCCTGCTGAGGCACCGCTCTCAGTCTTTGGCTGTACCACCTCCCCCCAGAGACACCTCTGCACTGTAGCGTGATTTTAAGCATTGTTGGTCTTAATTGAACACTTTTGGTTTTAAAACATGGTATTAAACGTTCGCAGAGAGAATTATGCTCCTGGGATGCCTCGTTACTGCTTTTTCAGCCTCTGTGTGGAAATTCCTGCCGGGGCACACGAGGTATGCAGACACACTGAGCAAGGGCCAAGCTCCAGCTCCTCTCTGTAGCCAGCGGAAAGGCTGGAGAAGGTGCCTGGTGGCATCTCTCTGGCCAGTTTCCCGTGGGGTAGCAGCAGTGTGTCTGCTGTGCCTGGTCAGTCCCTGGCTAGTAAACTTATCTGCACCGCCACAGGCGGCCAACCCTGATTTCCAGCTGTAAGATCCTCTGGAACAACTCCTGGTAGCCCCAGATTTGATCGTGACAGAGTGGATTGGCGTCTGTGCCCTCTAGGTGCCATATGCAGTTAGAGACAGATGCTTGCAGCCTCCTTTTCAGGCCTGTGTTACTTCTGCTAAATGCAAAGGTGAGAAATTGTGCATAGCCGGTTCTGAATTCCATGTGCCTGTGCTCGCCGCTGCAGGAAGGACACGTGCACACCATCCAGACGCTGCTGGGGCTCGGCGCTGATGTCCAGGCGAAGGATGGGAAGAGCCGTTCTGGTAAGGCTGCCGATCACCCTCTGTAGGACAGCAGAGAGGGCGCTTTAGTAGCAGGAGCCCAGCCTCCAAAGCAGCCTGTGCCGCGTCTGCTCAGCAGAGTGGGCAAGGCGGTGCCAGCTGCACGTATGCAAATGGCTCTTGGGGTTTTTTTGCAGCTTTCATTCATTCACTGGCTCCCTTCCTGCTGGACTTTCTGATGTCTGATGGTGTGGTTGTGCCTGCACGGGGGCCTTTCCCTTGGGGGAAGAACGGAGCTGCTAATTGGTGTTTCTCTTCACCCAGCTGCTTATTTTGCATGCAGCTTTCAGGAGCTTAGTGTCTTTGATACCGTCACCTTGCCATCAAATTTAGCCACTTCAAAACCGTTAGGGTGGGCAGGCAAATACGACCGCACAAACTCTTAAGCCTCAGTTCCTTAGCAAACTGTCTGGGAATGGCTTATGAGCAAATAATAACAGCTTAAACGTAAATATAGTTGCTATAGTAACGCCGGTGAGTTGGCATTCCCAGCGCGAGAGTATGAGGCATCTCTTGCATCAGCATCTCTCTCTCAAAAAAAAAGTCTATGTAAATGATTTCAGCCATTGCTAAAATTGGCAACTTACCCAGTCTTTAGGTTTGCTTAATAGCACGCTTCAGCAGCGAGCATGAAGAGCCTTGTATCTCTCCATCTCTCCCTCCGCCCCCTCTGAGTAAAGTCGAGCTCTGCTGAACTCTCCCAATGCTGGGACATTTGTGGTGGCTCCTCGCGCCCAGTGGCTGCCCCAGCACCTTTGCTACGTTTAGTGTCAGTGTGTCCTGGGATGCTTCTCACCCAAACTCTGCTCCCGGAAAGTGTCCTGCGCGGATTATCCATGGGGATGAGGATACATGAGTGCAGCAGGAGCTGACGACCCTCAGCATAAAGGATGCTCAGCCCTGTGCAGGATTAGGCCAGGAGATCACCCTGTTACACAAGCCAGGTGTAACAGGACTGCTTAACTGCTGGAGCCACGCTGGATCAGCATGCCGGCTGTTGGAGGGGGCTGCAGGATGAGCCAGAGCTTGGGCTGGCCATATTTCAGCCTCCTCTGTGGGTTGTTCTTTGCTGCATGCATGGAAACCTTTCCGATTTTCTCCCTGACCCTGGAGTGAGCTGGCAGGGAGCCCCACCCTATAAAGAACCCTGGTCACAACCGGGGTAGTTTCAAGCCCCTCTTTTGCACATCACTCTTAAATCCACCACAGACACGGAACAATAAGAAGCCCGGAGGCCTTTTGCACTGCCCACGCTGTCCCACAGCCTCCCCCTCTCCTCGCTCTGTGCCCACGACTCAGTCAAAACGAACCAAGTTGGCTTAAATACTCCCAATATGTTCACAAACCTGGTTAGTTTTGGCTCAGCCAGGTTAGTACCACTTGATGGATTGGAGGGACCTGTGAGGGGAAGATGAGGGTAATAGTGGGGGTAAGATGAGCTGATGGCTTTTCTACCAGCACGCCTGGGTGTGGAAGAGGATGTGTCCCCTGCTTGGGCAGGTTTACTCGTCCTGTCACCGCTCCAGACGTGCACAGCTGCAGCAGCTGAGCCCTGCCGTGCCATCGCGCGGCTGCGTGGCTGGGTGTTGCAACTGGGAAAAGTCATTTTTCCTCCTCGGTGCATTCCCTCTGCTGTTTCCTTCACTGGGAGTCTGAAGTTTGTGAAGCGGGCTGCAGCCGAACCCGCCGGGCCATCTCAGCTCCTCTTTGACATCTTGTCTCCCCCACAGTCCTGCACGCAGCGTGTGCTGGGCAGCAGGCAGCTGCTGCACGGACCCTGCTCCATGCCGGGCTGCGGGACACGCCGGATGGCTCAGGCGTGCTGGCACAGCAGCTCGCGAGGAACCCAGATGTCATCCAGGTTTTCCAGGAAATGGATGTCAGCCCGTGAGACGAAATGGGAAGGAGAGAAACCTGGTTCATTCAGCATCGTAAGTTGGTTAGCACTTAACAACTACTCAGGTTTAGATAAACACCTGTTTAAAGTGACAGGATTTTTGCCCAAGGATTGAGCAGAGAAACCAAGCTTGACGCTTGGGAACTATGTTTAGGAGAAAACATGTTTTAAATAGGATTATCTCAAAGAGATAATAGATGTAATGGGTCTGGGCTGTCCCATTCCTGTACTGACCCCATCTTGCAAATTTATGGCTGTTCTTCTTTCATTTCCAAATTTCAGGGCTGAACTTCACCTGTTCTTGTGCAGCACCCAGCACCTCCAAACGGCTGAGGCCACAGCTCCCTGAATGATAACCATCCAAGGAAGGTGACCCGTGGGCTGCTGCTAGATAATCTCTGGGGACCTGCATGGCTTCAACAGACTGGAGCCTGCCTAGCGCTTGATGGGATGCTGCCATGCAGCAGGCAACCTGAAGGAGAAGATACACCTGTATTGTTGATTTTTATCACCCTCGATGGACCTGTTCTTCGTGAATCTAAGTTGCTTTAAGTGGCTACGCCTTTCGGTAGCCCCTGAGAGAGGCCGAGTGGAGTCCAGCGTGAGCTGGCTCTTGGTGACTCTTCCTTCATCAGGTTTGAGCTGCAGAGGACAAGTGCAGTGAATCTTCAGGCTGCATCAACCTCTTAGGTCCTTTGTGTGGCCCAAGTCTGATCCCAAAGCCTGCTGACATCAACGGTAAGACCTCAGCCTTGCGACGACATCAAGAGTCTTCGGAGCAGACTGAAAAAGAGGTATTTGTTATTCCAGACAGTCTTGCTTGACACTTCTCACCCCTGGTGAACTTCAAAGAGCCAATTTTATGTTTTTTTAAAGTGCATAGGGAAATGGCTTAATAATTAGTGTAGCCTGTAAGTCTCTAACAGCCTGGAATACGCGTAAAGGTAAGAGCTGCTGTAGCTGTTTGGTTTATATGTATGCATCTGCAATTATAAGCTTGGTTTTGCATAGAAACACGGCCCGCTCCTGTCTGTATGTGATGTCAAGATATAAAAACCATTGTGATTCTGTGGTTTTGGTGATAGCAGTGGCTAAAAATCAGACAGGCCTGTAACTGAGTGGGTGAGCGAGATTTTGCTCTGCCCAAGCTGTGGTGCTCACGTCGTGGTTTGATGCACGACCCGCGTGCTTCTTGGGTGGGTTTAAGATGATGCTGATCTCTCTTCAGGTGAGAAACTCCCAGCCCGTAGTCCCTGGAGCAGGGTTTGCCCTGATGATCCTACGCCAGAGCGACAACAGCGCCGCACTCCTCTGGAGTCAAACAGCCTTTACAGCGGGGTTAGGGCCTCCTCCCCTCTGCCTGTTCACGCTGTACAAGGAGGGGCAGCATGCTCACACACATCATATGGGGGGCTGTGAGAGGGGGCTGATAGCTTGCAGGAGGAGGAGGAGCAGGGCTCGGTGGTGTCTTGAGGCTCTTCTGAACGTGCCTGTAAAGACCTGCTTTTTGCCAGTCTTCCCCTGGCTTGTTTCTCCATCTGTGAAGGAGATTCTTCTTCACCAGGGAGGAAAAAGGGATTAATGCTGGAAGGCTCTAACAGTGCAGGGTGATGGGAGCTGTATCAGCCCCTGGGCAGGCGAGGAAGTGGCTTTATTCTTCTAAAGATCCTGAATCCTTCCATAAATCCATCCCTAGCCTCCACACAGCAAACCGCAGTACTGCAACCCAGTAAACGCAAGGGGTTTATTCTGCTTTCTTCCCACTTTTCATGATCTTAGCAAACCATGCAATAGCTGTTTCCTCCCTGTGTCCCTACTGATGAGCTCAGATTGCTGGTGAGTCTAACCTTCTGTGAAAAAGCAAAGGAGAATGTTTTCAGATGTCAGTCTCTAGCTCTCCTGGCCATGGCAAACACCTTGAAAACACCAAAAGGAATTCACATTCCTTTGCTTTATGATTTCCCAAGGCTTCTGGATAGTGGCAGCGGGCCTGTCCGACTGGGACAGGGAGCTTGGGCACTGTGCTGTCATCCACAAGCGAGATGTAATGGCACGTCTCCAGCAGCCTTTTATTTACCCTTCTTTTATGTCGGCCCCTCAGGCAGCAAAAAGATGCACAGAGACAAACTGTTGTCATCACAGCTGATCAGGTACAAAAGGACGTTGGAAAAGGAACATGGATTCATCTGTATGCCTGCAAAATTAGCCTGGGGAAGAGCCTTTGCTGCCTTTCTTGCCGTTTTTGCTGTTGCTTACTTGCTGCAAGGTAGGAGCAAGGGGTCAGGACACCTTTGTTGTCACAGAAGCATGCTGCAAAATGCTGGGAAGAGCTCGGCAGCACTAGATGGTGTGCATGCAAACCCCTGCCGCGTTCCCGGCAGACGGCTCGCGTGGAGAGACCATGTGGGTGCCTGGTCCCCAGGGAGCAAGGCCTTGAGCTGAGTTCCGTGCCACGCAGAGCTGAAGGCAGTTTGGACCGGGAGTGGGGCCTGGCAGCCGGCACACAGCTTCGGTGCTGTCCTCTTACACCACCTCTTCCAGCCCCGGCACTGGCGCTTGCTGGGGGAGCTGCAAACACTCCTCATCCTGCAGCCGTGGAGGAGAAGACCTTTGTCTTGTAGAATGTGGCTGAGATACTGTCAGGGTAAGCAGAAGCATCCGGATAGGTAGGAAATAGCATTGCAATGCTGTCAGGTCTCGCTGGGAGACTACAGGAAAAGAAGGCATTTTATTTGATAATCAAACTTCCAAGCACCAAGACACATTGGGCCAGGGTGCTCTAGGGAGGATTCCTTGCGATGGCACTGAGGACAAGCGACTGCAGCTATTGCCTCCTGCCAGTGTGCGCTGGCAGCCCAGAAAGCCAACCCCATCCTGGGCTGGATCCAGAGCAGCGTGGCCAGGGGGGCGAGGGAGGGGGTTCTGCCCCTCTGCTCCGCTCTGGGGAGACCCCCCTGCAGTTCTGCTCCAGCTCTGGGCCCCAACA